TTTGAGAAGCTGGATAGCTCTGGCACAGCCTCTCTGACCACCCAGAGAAGTTTTTTTATGTGGTAGGGATTTGATTCTTAATAGGTCTCATTATTTTATTCACTTCTGGTTGTAGGTTTTTCAGGATGCTTGGAAGACTGTTCATGTTGTGGATTTATTCCAAGCTTTTCTCTGATGAAGTTTATAGTCCTTGGTTTTACTGCTAGTTCCTTGATCCACTTTGAGTTGGCTTTTGTGTATGGTTTGAGGTGTGGGTCTTGCAGATAGTTTTCCAATTTCCCCAACACTATTTGTTAAAGACGCTTTTGTTTCCCCACTTAACTGATTTCATCTCCTTGTAAAAAATCAGTTGACCATGTGGAGATGAGTTGATTTCTGGGTTCTCAATCCTATTCCATTGATCTATGTGTCTGTTACTGTACTAGTACCATGCTGTCTTGACCACCACAGCAGTGTAGTAGGATTTGAGATCAGGGAATGAGATGTCTCCTACGTTGTTTCTCTTTTTCAGGAGTGCTTTGCTTATTCGGGGTCTCTTTTCATTCCAGCTGAAATTGGAAATTGCCTTTTTCATCTCATTTAAGAAAGGAATTGGTACTTGTATTGGGATTGCATTGAATTTGTAGATTACCTTTGGTAGTATTGTCATTTTCACAATATTGAGTCTTCCTATCCAAGAGCATGGTATATTCTTTCATCTCTCCAGGTTTCTTTTTGCTTCTTGTAGTAATGTTTTGTAATTTTCTTTGAATATGTGTTTTGTGTTTCTGGATAGATTTACTCCCAAGTATTTAATCTTGTGATTAGCTGTTGTGAAGGGTATTTTTCTTAGCTCCATTTCTGTATTCTCTTTGTCACTATAAAGAAATCCAATTGGTTTTTGTATGTTGATCTTGTATCCTGCCTCTTTGCTGAATTGATTGACTATGTCCAGGAATTTTCTCACTAAGTCTTTAGGGTCTTACTATCATATCATCTGCATAGAGAGATAATTTTACCTCCTCTTTGCCAATTTGGATACCTTTTATTCCCTTCTCTTCTCTTACTGCTATTACTAAGACTTCCAATACAACATTGAATAGGAGAGGTGATAATGGAAATCCTTGCCTAATTCTTGTTCTCAAAGGGAATGCCTTTAATCTCTCTCCATATTGGTTTTTGGTTTTGCGTATGTATTTTTTACTATGTTGAGGACACTCCCCTCTAATCCTATTTTGTTGAGAGTTTTAATCAGGAAATCGTGTTGGATTTTGTCAAAGGCCTTTTCTGCATCAATTGATAGGATCATGTCATTCTTGTTCTTTCCTTTGTAATATAATGAATTACATTGATTTGTTTTTCTTAAGTTGAAACATCCTGGCATACCTGTTATGAACCCCACTTGGTCATGGTGAATTATTTTTTTTATGTATTGTTGGATGCTCTTGGCTAGGATTTTATTGAGGATTTTTGCATCTTTGAGAGATATTGACCTATAGTTTTCTATTTTGATGGTGGCTTACCTGACTATGGTATCAAGGATATGTTTGCTTCGTTGAATGGGTCAGGGAGAATGCCAACTTTTTCTATTTTTTGAAATACTTTATGTAGAGTTGGTGAATTCTCTGAATGTTTGATAAAATTCACTTGTAAAACCATTTGGTCCAGGGAAGTTGTTTTAGTACCTATTTAATTTCTTCTTTTTAAAAAAATTTTTTTTAAATTATTATTTTGTGTGCGTGTACCGTTAAATCAGATCTGACTGGTACAGGAGGAGATTGTCCCTCCTTTCCCGGCAGAGCATCTGGTGGATTCGAACCATGCGCCTCTGGGATTGCAGTGCAGCTTCTTGCCACTAGGCCATAATTTCTTCTTTTGTAATGAGTCTGTTCAGGTGTTCAATTTCAGTTTGTGTCAGTTTAGGTAGGTTGTGGGTTTCTTAGTATTTTCCCATTTCCTCTAGGTTTTCATATTTGTTCAGTATAGTTTTTTCATAATATTCCTTTGCTAATCTTTTTTAGTTGGTTTTGTTGTGGCATTGCCCCTTTCATCTCTTATTCAAATTTTCTGTATCTTTTCTTTCATTAGTTTTGTTCGTGGTTTGTCGATTTTATTTATCTTTTCAAAGAACCAACTTCTGGTTTTGTTGATGGTTTCAATTGTTCTTCTGTTTTTTCTATTTCATTTATTTCTGCCCTAATTTTTATAATTTCAGGGTTTTTAGAGGGTGTCAGGTTTTCTTGCTGTTCTTTCCAATTTGTTGGAGATGTTGGGTTAGAGAATTAATTATCAATATAATTTTCCTGCCTTTTGATGCATTTGCTTATTGATATACATTGACCTCTAATTACTGCTTTGGCTGTTTTTCAGAGGTTTTGGTAAGTGGTGTTTTCATTGTCCTTTGTTTCAAGAAACTTTTTAATTTCATTTTTTATTTCTTCTAGAACTGCCACATGTTCAAGCAAGGTGTTGTTCAGCTTTCATATGTATGGTTTTCCCCCCTTCTTTATCCCCTTGTTATTAATTTCTAATTTTGTAGCCTTTTGGTCTGAGAAGATGCTTTGTATTATTTCTATGTTTTTTAATTTATTGATGCTTGCCTTGTGAAATAAATTGTGATCTATTCTGGAGAATGTTCCATGTACGTTGGAGAAGAAGGTATACTGCACTTTCTTGGGGTATATTAGCCTGTATATATCTTTGAGAGTGATTTGGTTTATTATGTGGTTTAACTCTTCATAATCTTTGTTGAGTTTCTTTGTAGAAGTTCTATCTTTTCTTAAGAGTGGTGTATTGAAGTCTCCTACTGGTGGTATTGTCTATTTCTTTTTTCTCTTTTGTTAATGTTTGCTTTGTATATTTTGCAGCTCTATCATTTGGTGCATAGATATTTATTATGGTTATGTCCTCTTGTTCTAATGATCCTTCTAGCATTATATAGTTATCATTCTTGTCTTTTGTAATGGTTTTGTGTTGAGATCTATTTTATCAGAGATTATTCTCACTACTGCTTTTTTCTGGTTGCTATTTCCTTGGTATATTTTTTCTACCTTTTTATTTGCTTAGAATATTTTTTTGACCCTTTTATTTCTAATCTTTCTTTATCTTCATTTATCAGGTGTGTCTTTTAGACAGCATGTTGATGGGTTTTGGGTTTGTGTTGTTGTTGTTGTTGTTTGTTTTTATCCATTCTACTACTCTTTTTCTCTTCGGTGGTACATTTACACCATTCCTATTCAGTGTAATTATTGAGAAGCTAGGTTTTATTGCTATGATTTTGTTCAGTTCATTTTGGTGTTGTTGCTGGTCTATCCTGCTTTCTGTGGCACCACTGTAAGAAGGAATTCTCTCAGTGTTTTCTGCAATGCTGGTCTTGTTTTTACAAACTCCTTTAGGTTCTGCTTTTCTGAGACTATCTTGATCTCTTCTTCACATTTGATGGACAGTTTTCCTGGGTACAGTATTCTACAGTATTCTTGGTTGACAGTTGTTTTCTTTCAGTGTTCCATATATGTTGCTCCACTGTCTTTTTGCTTGCACGGTTTCTGCTGAAATATTGGCACTTAATCTTCTTTGCTCTCCCTTCCAGGTTACTCTTCATTTCTCCCTAGCTGCTTTCAGAATCCTCTCCTTGTCTTTGATTCTGGCAAATTTGACTATGATATGTCTTGGTGTTTTTCTTTTGGGGGTCTATTCTATATGGTGCTAACTCAGCTTCTTGAATATATATTATCTCATTCTTCATTATACCTGGAAAGTTTTCTTCTAGTGATTGTTCCACAACTTTCTCGGTGCCTTTGCCTGCTTCTTCCTGTTCTGGGATCCTGATTATGTGCATGTTATTGTTCTTGATGGTGTCCCACATTATTCTAGGACTTTCTTCTTTTACCTTCCTTTTTGTTCCTACTTTTTGTTCTACAGATTAGTGGTGACAACTCTATCTTCTATGTCACTAGTTCTATGTTCCATTTCTTTAACTCTGTTCATATGTCCCTCCAACATGTTGACAGCATTTGAAACATTGGTCTTCATATTCTGGATTGTGGTTTCTTGTTTTTTTCCAGAGCCTTTACTGCTTTATTTGTTTTGTCTGCATTGTCTTGGGTTGTTTGTTTTTTTTTTTAAAGTTCCTCTTGGTTTTTGCTTGCAGAGTAATTCTTCAAATTTGTCTTTTATTCATTGAAAATATTCAATCATTGTTCTTTTGAATTATGTGTCAGAAAGATCCATCAGACTTTCTGGCTTTCTAAATCCATTGATAGTGTGTCACTTTTTGAGGGGGTGACAGCTTGTTTTGTGTTTGTGTAGGGTGTAAGGTAGTTTCCTTCTTCTGTGCCTTTGCTGTGGTAAAGTTTTTCATGCTTAAGTTTTTAGTAGGCTCTTGGTCAGAGGAGAGTGGGGCAGCTATCCTCCTCTGATATTTTTTACTCAAGGGAAGACTTGCTTTAGTTAGAAAGAGATACGGCCTGACAATTAGAACCCTTCTCAGTCAGGAAACTGCTGTAGCTAGGCAGACCCAAAGTGCCCAGGGCTAAAGGCAGCTCAATTTCTGGAAAGAAGGAGGTGAAGCCATTTGTGTCCCTGACACAGTTTAAAAGGGCAGCAGTGGACTGTCCCCTAGGCAGCAAGACCGGGGCAGCCAGGTGGCAGGGCCAGGTCCTTTAGGTAGCCAGGCCAGGGTATCCAGGCAATGGGTAGGGGCATCCAGGCAGCAAGGCTGGGTTCTCCAGATGGCAGGTTTGGGGGGCCCTGCAGTGGGGCCAGGGACCTCCTGGTGGAGGGGCCAGGATGGGAAGGGGGTGCTCCAGGTGGTGAGGCTGCAGTCTAGTGCTCCCAGCAGGAGAGCAGTCCAGGCTACACTCAGCTAAGTATCTTGCAATGTACCTTAAGAAGAACTGAATCAATATCCCCCTCTCACAGAGAAGGATACTGAACTGAGGTCTGACTTTGAAAGGTCTCTTCGCTCATAATGTATTCAAACCCCACTACTTTTTTATTAAAATGCAAAGAAAACCACATACCGGTTTTGATGGAGTTCCCACAGCTGCTTCAAGCCTTGGTCAACCAAGCCTTCCAAAATGAGGAGGTGGATCCTCCCATCCAGCAGGTGAAAGCCAGTGAGTATATCCATGTCCTGTTGGTCCTGGACCTTTTCGTGTACCTTAAAGACTGATAGGATCTGTTGGATATCCCTGAGAGGGTAAGAATACAGATCAAGGGCCTTGGCATTGATCATGGCGATGTCCTGTAGCAGGCTTTGGAGGAGAAAAGTCTTCTTCCTGCAGTTGAACACAAAGATAATGAGGCCAAACTGGGTGCCTATCAGGTGTGGCTCAGGCACTTCAGCACCAAGTTGAAGTGGTACAGCAAGCTCCACTCGAAGCTTGAGGTGGGAGTCTGCCCACAAATAGTTGCCCATTGGCATTGGCTTATGTTGAAGGCTGTCTGTTGGAAACTGGGACCCCAGATTTCTGCTCTTGCTGGTCTGGCTTTGACCTGTAAGCTTGGATTTACAGCCATGGATGGGCACGTACAAGTTCAGGGATGTTTGGCCAAGGAGAAGGTCAGCAAAGCTAACTTGGGCAACCCCATAAGGAAACCTTATCTTCTTGTGAGATTCAAAGGGGTTCTTCTCTGTCTGCGTGTGAGAGATGAGGGTAGGGAGGCCAATGTATGTATCCAAGGGGTCCTCCCCAAATAAGGTGGGCTTCCAGGTATACTCCTCTGACTTCAAGTCACGGTCATGAACTTCCACCACCATGGGAGGTCCTTCCAGATATGTTTTCAGATCAATGGGACACAATGTCCCAAGGAAGATTACATTGATGTCTTGGAAGTAAACGTGGCTTCCATGAGGCTGCCCCTCAGTTTCATGAACTGGAGTATTGTGGAACTGGTACCTGCAGTACACTGGGGCACACAGCCTCTATAAGAGAGTAAAGGTGAGAGCAGGTCAGTCAGCTGCCAGGGCATCACTATGCCTCAGGTAAGGGGAAGATTCCAGCTTAAGGAGTTCAAATCCCAGTGCCACTCTACTACCTGAAGCCCCTTGAACCAAAGTCTCCTCCACTAGAGATACTGATGAGGACCCTTGTTCAAGGTTACAGTGATGTCATATACATGATTGCACCAAGATGGTAGCTAGCACAAGCCAAAGGGCTAAGAAGCATTAATCATTACATTTGTCTTCCCTCTTACTGCCATGAGGAGCCCTAGTGGCTAAGCGGTAAGGAGTTGCACTGGCAACCCAAAGACGTGAGGTTCAAATCCACCAACTTCTCTGTGTGAGAAGGATGGGCAATGTCCTCCCAGGTGATTTTCTGCCTCTGAAACCTGCTGGAGGGTCAGCTGTTGGTTCCGACTAGACAATACATAACAACAACAACATGGCTGCCATGAAAATAAGCCATGTCTCTTTCACCTCTAGTTCTAGTTTCTAACCCAGTT